AGCAGCAGCGGGCGGCTGGCCGAGACGGAGCCCCCAAACACCGGCGGGGGCCGGGGCGCTCCTCGCCCGCCTGAGGCCCCTCCCCGAGCGCGGCAGGGCGGGCCCCTGTCGGCTACACGCAGGAGTGGCCCTGGGCAAGAGGGACCCTTGGCGCGCGGCTTGCCGCCCGCCGCGTGCGACGCGACGGCAGCGGCCTGCCTGTCTGGGCCTGGCCTCCGCGCGCCCGCCGGCGGCCGCGCAGCAGCGACCGCTCACCGCCGAGGGCCGCCCCTTGCGCGCGAACTCCGACGCCCCAGCCCGAGAGCCGCGCGGGCTCTGGGCGCTCGCGGGAGGAGGCAGGCGCCGGCGCCTCAGGCCGGGGAGCGGGCGCTGCGGTCCGGCGCCCTCCGCGCAGCCGCCGCCGCCCAGCCGCCGCCGCCCCGGCGCTTGGGGCTCTTGGGGCTCTTGGGGCTCTGCGCGCCCGACGAGGGGGCGGCGCGCCTCGCCGAGGGGAGGGCGCTCCTGGCCGCGGGCGAAGAATGGTGCCAAGTCGTGCTGTCCCGCGATCGTGGGTGCCTGTCCCAGGACGGCTGGGAAATTGACGCGGTCGGGGTGGACTGGAGAGGGCACGCGAGAGGCCACAGGGGCCTTCCGAGGGCCGCACTGCCGTGGGGATGTCGGGAGGCATGGGTCGCGAAGCTCAGGACACGAGGGTGCCCCCGACTTGGCAGGGCCGACCTGCTGATCAGCCTCGACGGTACCCCTACGGCGGCAGATGGGGGTGCACACTTTCCAGCCGCCCTGGGAGGGGCGGCCCCGAGCACGTAGAAAAAGGATGCTGGTGGGCCTGTTTTCCACCACCATCGCCATCAGTTGAAGTGGGGGAGGAGGAGGAGGAGGAGGAGGAGGAGGAGGAGGAGGAGGAGGAGGAGGAGGAGGAGGAGGACCCCCTCCCGTTCCGACTTAGGGTGGTGGTGGTGGAAAACAGGCCCATCATATGTTACACCGTTCTTCGCCCGCAAGGTCCTGGTCACAGGGTCTTGCGGGGCGACGTGCCGGAGGATCAGCTTCAGCATGTTCAGTATGCGGGTGAGCTCGAGGCCCCTCGAGTTGGTGGCGCTCAGCTGCGTGATGCCCTCGAGGAACTCGTCGATGCTGATCTCGCCCGAGCCGTCCGCATCCAGCGCGTCGAACAGGTCGAAGAGCGAGTCTACGTTCAGGAGCTTCCCGAGGTCCATCTGCAGCTCCTCGGAGGCGTGCTGGAGCTCGACCAAGGTGATGTAGCCGTTGCCGTCCGCGTCTAGGTCCTCGAACATCGCCCGCAGCTGCGGGAGGATGGCCCGCGTGTAGTGGTTCTTGTAGATCTGGCGCATCTCCTGCAGAGGAACCCGACCGTGGCCGTCGCACACGATCCGCCTCCTCCCCCTCCCTCCTCCTCCTCCTCCTCCTCCTCCTCCTCCTCCTCCTCCGCCTCCTCCTCCTCCTCCTCCTCCCTCCTCCTCCCCTCCTCCTCCTCCTCCTCCTCTCCTCCTCCTCCTCCTCCTCCTCCTCCTCCTCCTCCTCCTCCTCCTCCTCCCCTCCTCCTCGCCTCCTCCTCCTCCTCCTCCTCCTCCTCCTCCTCCTCCTCCTCCTCCTCCTCCTCCTCCTCCTCCTCCAGTCTCTCCATTGGTGGCGGCAGGGGTGGCGGTCGGCGTTCGAGGTGGGACGTTCACAGGGCCACGGCACATCGCGAAGCACAAGGGGGCCTCGCCCCAAAAGCCACCATCCTTCGTAAAGCTCCACGGCCGGCACAGTCCCTACACTGCAGTGGACCTCGCTGCGAGGCCGTGACCCCTCCAGCTTGACCAGGAACCTCGTCTCCTGAGGGCCACGACCCATCCTCAAATACTAGAAGCCCCCGCTCCTACGACCAAGATCCATAGCACTCGACCCCAACTCCCCAGGCCCACGACCTCTTGCTTTCATTCGGGCGGCTTCGCAACCCCCGTTCACTACTCCGCGTCCTGCGCGACTCTACATCGGCTGCCGATAACCTGCGGCACGCTAGCTGCCGCCTTCCCTGCAAAAACTAAAGATTCCCGGAAAGAGCCTGAGCCCAGGGTTCTCTTTTAGATGGTAAACCTGTCTCTGGTGCCAAGTTGGGGAAGGGTCGACGGAAATAGAATTCCCTGATAAATATCGAAAGTGGGAAGGGCCGGCGGAATTATGTGTGAGGATGTCCCGAGCGAAACGCGGGCTTTTTAAAAAATCCGATCGATACAACACATGGTAAACTAAACATGTTCGTCTGTCGCGGATGTCTCGAGCGAAGCGCTCGTTTTGTGTTATAGATTGTTCCTCTCCTGGGGACCAGAATTCAGAGGATGTGTCAGGTGACATCCTTGTTTTCACGTGCCTGGGTCTTGAGGATGTCTCGAGCGCGACGCTTGGTTTCACGCGTCCAGGTCGCCCAGGCGGATGTCTACCAAGAGGACTTGTCGAGAATGTCTCTGGCGAGACGCTTGTTTTCACTTGTCCAAGTCGCCCAGGCGGATGTCTAACATGAAGATGTGTTGAGGATGTTCCGAGCGAACGGCTTGTTTTCACGTGTCCAGGTCGCCCAGGCAGATGTCTTGCATGAGGAAGTGTCGAGATAGTCTTGAGCGAAACGCTTGTTTCCGTGCCCAGGTCGTCCAGACGGATGTCCAAAATGAAGATGTGTTGAGGATGCCTCGATCGACCCGCTTGATTTCACGTGTCCAGGTCGCCCAGGCGGATGTCTAGCATGAGGATGTGATGATGAAGATGTGTCGAATGACACGCTTGTTTTCACGTGTCCAGGTCGCCCAGGCGGATGTGTAGCATAAGGATTTGGGAAGGATGTCACGCGCGAACCGCTTGTTTTCACGCGTCCAGGTCGCCCAGGCAGATGTCTAGCATGAGGAAGTTCGAGCGAGACGCTTGTTTTCACGTGTCCAAGTCGCCCAGGTGGATTTCTAGTATGAGGATGCGTTGAGGGTGTCTCGAGCGAGACGCTTGTTTTCACGTGTCCAGGTCGTCCAGGCGGATGTCCAGCATGAGGATTGGTTGAGGATGTCTCGAGTGAAAAGCTCGCCCATCCGTGGGGCGTCCCCTGGCGCGCCAGCGCGTCCCCTGGCGCGTCCCTTGCGACGTTCTGGCGTGACATGCCCTGACACGTCCCCCAGCACGCCACTCGGCGTGGCATGTTCCCTGGCTCGTCCTCTGTCGCGTTTCTTGGCTCGTCCCCGAGCGTTTCCCTTGCCCGTTCCGTGGCGCGCCCCTTGCACCATCCCTTGGCATGACGTCCTCTGGCCGCCCCGTGGCACGCGCCTTGGCACGTCCCGTGGCAGGTCCCTGACACATCCAGGGCACGTCCCCTGATACGTCCCCTGACACGCCCCCTGGCGCATCTCCTATTGCGCCCCTGGAACATCCTGTGGCGCGTCCGTGAACCTGTGCCCTGTGTCGTGTCGTTCCTTTTCAAAGCTGAGTCGGATTTTGAAGTCGAGTTGATTGCACGTCCCGCACGTTCCCACTTCAACTAGCTCTGAGGCGGCTACTATGTGCTCAGGCAGCTCGAGCTCAAGATCCAGATCAGTTCGGTCTAGACTCAAAGGAAGACTCGATCCACAACGCTATCGAGCACGATCGCGGCATGGCACATCGCAAGTCAGCACCGCGCAGCACAGCACAGCCCTTGGCACGGTACATGAAGATCGATACACTCAGCATTGCAACTGCCCGTCGCCTCTGCCCGTCGCCTCAATCAAGTGTCTTGAAAACGTTGCCATGCCTCACACTTCTATACTCCTTTCCGGGCTCGTGGGTCGATCATGTGTTTCCCCACCGCGGCTGGAGTTTGCCTCGGTTCCACTGGACCCGCAGCTGCAACTCGTGTCCGCGCCGATGCAACCAAGCGCTGCAAGCTCAGCCACTCTTTGACGAGATCGCCTACGACGCGCGGCGCCCAAGCCTGCACGTCGTGGCCGCGACGTGCGTCGCCGTCCCACGGCAACTGCGCGTTCGCCCACGCCTAGTTGCAGCGCCCGGCCCTGGCGGCCAGAGACCAGGCGATCGTGCGACTTCGTTGCACAAAAACGCCCCCGTCCTCGTTCGGCGCTGACCTGATGTCCAAGGCGATGGCAATGCACTGGCAATGCACGTGGTCGCGGCCGCTGGCGCACGCATTTTGGAACAGCCATCGCGAGAAGCGGTACTGACTACCTACCAGACCACCCAAACCCAACCCGAAGACCCAAATTTGACCCGAATTTCGGGTTGGGGGGGAGTATGAGTTCCATGTGTGTTTTTTCAATGCCCCCGTCCCCCCCCCACTGGAAACGGAGGGCTAATCGAGGCCTTCGGGTTGGGTTGGGGTGGTTTGGTGGGCGGTGAGATACTGAACCGTGCTCCGAGAGTCGCTGCTCAGGCACCGACGCTCGGAACCCTCGGCTGCCTGGCGCAGCCATTCATCCAGATTGCCGACACACATGCCCGGAGCATAACCGCCGCGACCTGCCGCGCAGGCACGAGCTGCTGCCCCTGTAGTGTGGTCGATGATGTGGCGCGACGCTTGCATGGATCCGGTCTCATCCCAGCTGTGCTGCGAGATCACGTTGTTCGTTCGTTCGTTCCGCGCGGCTTGGAACGCGCCCGCTTGTGGAGGAAGCCGTGCACCCGAAAGGGGGCAGGTGTGGGGCAGTACAGAGATGGAGGCGTCACTCTTCTGGAGGTGCCTCGACCTAGCTTCACTCGAGGGAGGAAGAGTGGAAGGGGGACCTGTGGCTCAAGCCAGCTTCGTATGCCTCCCTTGTCACGCCCTCGCTGCACACGAGGCGATATCTGCAGATACTAGGGCTGACTGAGCTGCCACGACACCTGGTAAAACATGATGGGTCCACCTTCCATCGGACGCAGTTTCAACTCAAATTCTATATATATATATATATATATATGTGTGTGTGTGCACACATATATATATATGTGTGTGTATGTATATTCATGTTCGCTCCCAGGGCCACAATCCCCCATAAAGAGTTCATGTCGGGCACATCGGGAAGCGCTGCTGCAGATGACACTTGTGCGTAATCAGCAACCGTGTCGCAGGCACTGTTCAGTGTGTCCTCAGGCCCCTTCGCGTCCTCAACACTGAATATTGTTAATGTGAAAGCTGGAAGACCTCAGACCTCCAGTTTGCGAATTCCCTTGCGATACAGTGGGGGCCAGACCACAAGAGACCCCAGGACGTCCACTGACTTTTGGTGTGGGAACGTCACGCTTTCCATCGCAAAACCATCGAAACCCAAGAAACCTAGGGCACCCTGGAGGCAAGCAGGGTGTTTCTTGGCATGGGTCTCCACTGTAGTGGGTGCTCTCAAAGTTTCCCTTCTGACCTTCGCCGAGGCCTTGGACACCGTGAGCAAGACAGCTGGCCTCGCGGCAGCTCCCCACTGGAGAAACTCGCAGCGGAGGTAATCACAGGCGTGCGGCCGTGCGAATCCGCCACCGCACTGGGGAGGGGGGGGAGGAGGAGGCGGAGGAGGAGGAGGAGGAGGAGGAGGAGGAGGAGGAGGAGGAGGAGGAGGAGGAGGAGGAGGAGGAGGAAGAGGAGGAGGGGGAGGAGGACGAGGACGAGGACGGGAAAGGAGGAGGAGGAGGAGGAGGAGGAGGAGGAGGGAGGAACAGGGGGGAAGAGAACAGGAGGAGGGGGGGAGGAAGGCCAAACTTGCAAAACGCCCTCATGGTGATCCCAGGGGCGCGTCCTGGAGGGGTACGGGGGTGATTGTCAAGGGTCCGTCGGTCTGTCCTGGTCTCGCTTCGCGTGATCCAGGAAGACTTCGATGACCACCGCTGTCACGAGGTTCATGACGACTACGGACACCACCAGGATGAAAGGTATAAAGAATAGCACCAGCATCCAGTCTTCCTCTAAGCTGCCAGAACCAATCCCTAATTGCCAACACTGCGCGCACCCTACCCTCCCCCCTCCTCCTCCTCCTCCTCCTCCTCCTCCTCCTCTCCTCCTCCTCCTCCTCCTCTTTTTCTTCTTATTATTCTGATTATTCTTATTTTTATTATTCTTATTATTATTCTTCTTATTATTGTTATTCTTCTTATTATTATTATTATTCGTCTTCTTCTTCTTCTTCTTCCTTCCTCCTCCTCCTCCTCCCCCTCTCCTCCTCCTCGCTCCTCCTCCTCTCCTCCTCCTCCGCCTCCTCCGCCTCCTCCGCTCCTCCGCCTCCTCCTCCTCCTCCTCCTCTCCTCCTCCTCCTCCTCCTCCTCCTCCTCCTCCTTCCTCTCCTCCCCTTCCTCCTCCCCTCCCCCTCCCCCCTCCCTCCTCCTCCTCCTCCTCCTCCTCCTCCTCCTCCTCCTCCTCATCCTCATCCTCCCCAACACGGCCCTCCCTGTCCCGCCTTGCTCTCCTAACCTCCAGTTCGTGCCGGGATCAGAAGCAAATTCCGACCGCCTATCCTCGATCAAAGGCTTGTATATCTGCCCGATACTGTCCAGGGTAACAAACTGGACCAGTGTGAGCATGACCTTTGGCAGCGTGCTCCAGTAATCGTTGACAATATCGCCAAATGTCCCTTCGTCGAAACTTTTAGGATTACTTGTGATCATCTCTATGCCAAGGCAAGCAAATATAAAGAGGGTCAGCGAGAGCACGATGAAAACGTTGACGATCGTGGTCAAAGACTGAGACAGCCCAGAGACCAGCATCCAGAGGGTCCGGAACTGCACGAAGAGGCGCAGACTTCGCGCGAGGCGCCCGAGCTTCAGAATGCGCATGAACGTGGGCGGTGACCAGCTCTTCTGCACGGCTTCGCCAGCACACAGCAGGACGAGTGGAACCAACCAGGAGTCCACCACACCAAACGACACGAGGACGAAGTCAAACCTGACCCAGTTGGTTCGCATGCACTTCATACCGCACGCAAAGATGCGGGCTGAAAGCTCTGCCACGTAGATGAGCAGAAACGCGTGCTCCAGCGACTCGAAGACAGCATCGCCCTCAGGCGCGGGCGTCGTCATCGGCGGGAACACCATGAGCTCGACGCCGATCACAAGGGTGTTGAGCGTGATCAGCGCGCCCATGACCCCATCGAACAGCGGATGGGCCAGGACCCCATAGCAACGGCGTTGCCAGCGCTGCTTCCACGTCTCCGCACTGGCGACGGGCGACCTACTAGAACGGTGTGATTTGTAGGAGCCCAGGCTGGTGCCTGACGCCAATGGTCCCCCTGCACCGATCATGGCTAGTCTTGGCCCCGAGATTGTCGGATAAGCCCTCCTGGCCTCACCAGAAAATCGTAGGCACCAATCCTGGGCCCAAAACTGGCCTGGCCAAGGCGGCGCAGGTGGAAAATCGGCATCCGGCGATGAGGCTCTTCTCGACACCGTAGTCGATCAGGGCTTCCGTGTCTTGGCCAAGTCTTTTCATCTTCATCAGCTTGTGCTCATCCCAGAGTTTGATGGCCTGAATGTCTGACCGCGCGCGAGCAAACCTGAGCTTCGCTCCTTTCGGGGAAAGCGGAAAACCCACATGTCCGCCAGTTGTGGACCCAACCAACATCAACTGCAGCCCCCACCTCCTCTTAATCCTCTTCCTGACCGACCTCGTCGTCCTCCTCCTCCTCCTCCTCCTCCTCCTCCTCCTCCTCCATCCCTCTTCCTTGTGGATAACTCCTCCCTGTCGCACCCCGACACGGATCAATAGGGTGGGTCAGGCGTTTCGCTTGAGACTGCCTCACCACGTATGATCCTGAAGCTTGAAATTTGCAACAGCTTCACGGTTGGGGGGCAGATCGTTCTCAAGTTGTGGCTCTCGCCTTCACCCCGCTCACACAAGTCTTAAAGGTGGCTGCGACAGCTTAACGGATGGAGGGCGGGTGACTTTCAAAATGTGGCTCTCGCATAACCGCTGCAAACATTCGTCGTAAAAGTGTGCAAAAGCTTCGCGAATGGATGTTGGGTGATATAGGAAATCTGGCGGTCGCCAGAGCGCTGCGCACATCCGTCTTTCAAAAAGTGTGGAGGGCGGCTCCTTTTTCCAAAATGTGGTTCTCGCACTTGCGACGCGCAAATGTGCTAAGCGAGTGTCGCCCCCCGAAAAAAAATGTCAGCCAGCGTGGGCCCCCAAAGAGTACGTGTGTGCAGTCTCTGCGCGGTGCAGTCTGTGCGGTGCGAGTGCTATTGACCCATGGGCTGGCACGCCCCATGCTCGTGCACTTGCAAACATCCCACCCACCCACCCGCAGCTTGGTGTGCAAAGCCCATGCGGTGGCGATTGCGACGCATGCTTTGCGTTGGCTGGCGCATCTCTGCGGCCGCGCCAACCCTAGCACGCGCGCGCAGCGGCCAACTGGTTTGGCGCGACCGACGCGGCAGTGGCGGCGCCGACCTCTGGGCACATCCCAGCGGGCACTTCACTGCGAGTCGGCGAATTGGGCGGGCGCGGTATCGTGGCAACGCCAACAACGGTAGACACGATGATGATACTACCGATGCCGGTGACGATATTGAAAGCGACGACGGCGCGGAGAGTGCGGGCGCCGATGCTGATCACGCCGATGACGATGGCGGCGTCCTCGCGTCGGTGATGAAGGTTTTGGAAAGGGTTCGACATGCGGCCGCGGCCGACGCGCGAGATTCGCCCGCGCGGCATTCTTTGACACGGATCGCGCCCCCCCCTCCCCCAGCGCGCGCCAGGGCGTGCGAATGATGTCGGCATGCGGCGCCCAGAGGCCCGCTTGGCAGAATTCCATTCATGTTGCTTTGAAAAACTGATGTTGCAGAGCCATGTGTTTTTGTATGTGCTTTGGGCACTCGATTCAAAAACCGAAGGTTCTTGACGGATTTCGGCATGCGCGCGCGACGACGCGCGCGCGTGCACCTCGTTTATCTGTTGCAAAGAGTTCTCGCGACGGCACGCGCGCAAAGGCGTTCGAACGATTTCGACATGCGCGCACGCGAAGCCCGTCTGGTAGCATGTAATGAAAATGTTGAAAAACCGATGGGTCTCTTCAGAATTCGCAAAAAAACGCAAGCTTATTTTGAAGATCCGTGTTGCGAAACCCTGTGTTGTAATATGTTGTTTGGACACTCGATTTTGAAATCCTCACGAAACCGAGAGTTTTTGAAGGATTCCGGCATGCGCGAGCGACGACGCGCGCGTGCGCACTTCGTTCATTTTTGGCAAGGGACTCTTGAAAAATCATGATTTCTGGTGAACGCGAGCGCGCGCTTAGCATGTTTTGCAGAGCATGACGGGGTGGTCGATACCAGTTCAGCTGGGATGGTACGAGTTCATATTTAGGATGGATGATGGGGCAGAATCATCTAAAAATTGCAATACGAAAAAGGAGGTCGATAAACCCGGGGGGGTAGAGTCTATATTCTCATTTAAACCGAATAATATAAGTGGTGCATCCTGTGCGGTGCAATTTACGCGCGGCAACCTGCGTAATGCAATGTATGCGGTGCAGTCTATGTGGCGCAAGCTATGCGACGGCGACGGGCGGCACCGCCCGCAAAAGCCGCCACTCGCCCCGAGCAGCGGCGACGGCGACGGCGACGGCGGCGACGGGCAGCACCGTCCGCATAAGCCGCCACTCGCCCCGAGCGGGCGACTGCGGCGCGGGCGGCACCGCCCGCAAAAGCCGCCACTTAACCCGAGATGGTTAAGCCAAGTACGGACCCCTAAGTGCAAACACTGTTTGGGGGATGTTGTTGCACGTCTTGGAATCGTCAGGTCGCAACAGTACAGTTGATTCGCGGCGTGAAAATGCCAGGAATGGTGCGTTGGCACGGTTGAAGATATTCAGACAGTTGTTTCCCAACGGGGCTCTTCCCGCATTGCGAACATATCATCAAAGGAACCTTTTTTGGGGGGGGACCCCAAAAAACTTGAAGGGAGGGTTCACTGCAATATCGTTCATGAATCCTGGCTTCACACTGGTCCTCCTCCAACTCCTCCTCCTGCTGCCTCGTTTTGCCCCCTATCCACGTCACCCGCATTCCTCCTTTTCATCCTCGTTATCATCGCCGCCACCATCACCTTCACCATCACCCACCATCACCATCACCAGCATAATCACCATCAGCATCACCAACATCAGCAGCGTGATCATGATCATCATGACCATCACTGGCCCCATCCATCGTGTTCCTCCCTCAGATTCCTCCCGCTTCCTCCTCATCACCATCACCACCACCATCGCAACAATCATCGAAAAGCTTGTCATAACATACTAAACCCCACCACCGCCATCATCACCACCACCACCACCATCACCGTTGCAACCCTCATCGCAACAACCACCACCATCATCACTACAAATGATATCATGGCCTCCCTCGTGTCCCTTCTTCTTCCCCATCCTGTTTGGACAAAACGTCCCCATCACCATCCGTTACCATCATCAGTATTGACATCAGCTGCAACAGCAATATGGTTATCATTGTGACGGTCCTCCTCATTCGCCCGATCAACAACACCATCACCACCATCCTCACAATCGACGCTACCATCAGCATAACCAACACTTCATTGCTACGAACCTTACTCATGCAGATCCTATTCTTTCTCCTCACCCTCCTCCTCCTCCCCAACACCATCATCACCATCACCACGAGCAGCATCATCGTCGTCTCTATCAGCATCGGCATCACCATCGTCATCGCGATCATCATCGCCATCAGCATCATCATATTTATCACCACCCTCATGTTCACCGCCATCTTGAACATCACCGTCATCACCACCACATCATTACCATCACCACCACCATCCTCATCGTCATCATCAACACCACCATCACCATCACCACCGCTACCATCACCATCACCGTCATCCTCAACAACAACAACAACAACAACATCATCACCATCACCATCACCATCACCATCACCATCACCATCACCACCACCATCATCATCATCATCATCATCATCATCATCATCATCATCATCATCATCATCATCATCATCATGATCATGATCGTCATCATCATCACCATCATGCCCGACCCTCTCACCTTCACCCCCACTCCTCCCCTTCCTCATTCACCTCCTCCTCCTCCTCCTCATCCTCATCCACCTCCTCCTTCTCCTCCTCCTCCTCCTCCTCCTCATTCGACCCCCATCCACACCATATTCCCTGATCCTCCTGGTCAGGTCCCCTGCGCCAATAACCATTTCCCAATCTGGAAGCCGATCTTGGGGAAAATCAAATACCGAGACCACTACTCCCCTGGGGTGCTTTCCGACCAGGATTTCAAGGCGAAGCCAGCGGTGGCGAAAAGAGCCCCCAAACAAGCACAAAAAGACGAAAACGAATGAACCGAATCGCCAGATGCATCATGTTTTCCCCGAACACTCCCAAGCTAAATCCCGTCAAATTGGCCCCCCAGTTCCTCCAGGGGCCCACCCTTGAATTATACCCTTCCCGCGGCCGGGGGGCCCGAAAACCGGCCGCCACCACACGCCGACGAAACAGACAAAATTACCGCGGCGAAGAACCCAATCCATTCGACACGCGTGGAAACGAGCAACAAGACCGCTCAGTGCACACGCACCCCTTGGGGCGCTGGAGAATGTCGGACCAGGCTCGGCACGCACACACGCGACTTACCAAACACTGAATGTGACGATGCATGCGGCACGGAACTCGAGGGCGGGGGCATAGGAAGCAGGAGGAAGGATACTCTGACGGACGGTTAATAGATCCAGCGCAGCGCGCGGGAGTCCAGGCAGGAAGCGGCGCGATTGCGCTGCGAACTCTCGATTCCCTGGCCGGCTCAGGCTCCGCAGCGTAAAGGAACCATGCGAGCCCTGCCACTGGAACCTTCGGTGGAGCTCCGTATGGGGCCACGAAACGTGTGACAGGTGTGCCACAATGAACCCGAATGACCATGCGGGTCCTGCCACAAAAATCTTCGGTGGAGCTCCCCCATGGGGCCACAAAACGTGCGACGGGCGTGCCAAGATCGGCCCGAACCATGCGGACCATGCCACCAACGCCTCTGGCGGAGCCCCGCTATGGGGCCACGAAACGTGTGAGGGGTGTACCAAGATGGACCGCCACTGGGGCCTTCGGTGGAGCCCCCTAGGGGGCAAAGAAGCGTGCGAGGCGTGGAAGAATGGACCCATGTAACCACGCATACACTGCCAACGGGGCCTTCGGTGGAGCTCCCTTCGGGGGCCACGAAGCGTGTGAGGTGTACCCAAATGGACCCGAAGAACCATGTAGACCCTGCCACTGGGGACGTGGGTGGAGCGCCCTGTGGAGCCACCAAACGCGTGACGGGTGTGCCAGAATGGACCCGAGTAATCATGCGGAACCTGCCACAAAAGCCTTCGGAGCAACCCCCATGTGGGGTCACGATACGTACGAGGGGCGTGCCAGAATCGACCCGAATATCAATGCGGACCCTCCCCACGGGGCCACGAGACGTGAAGGGCGTACGAAAACAGACCCAAATAACCATGCGGACCTTGCAGCAAAAGACTTCGGCGCA